GGAGAGCAAGGATTGGAAATCGGCCCTGCTTTGCTTTCCATCGGAAAACGGGAAGCCCTGTGGGCCGGGCCGGAGAGACGCTGCGCCGTGCGGGAGGAGCCGCGAGCCGTCAGCTCATCATGTCGTTGCTGTTGACCCCGTAGGTGGAGTTCTTCATGGAGTCGTTCACCTCCCGTCTGAAGGCCGACAGGTTCTGCGTGAACCTGAAGGAGAGGCACGGCGTTTCCTTGGGGCTCCTCGGCCTCCCCTGCCCTCCTCCTTCCCTCCCCCGGCCCCGTGCCGGCACCCACCTGTCCCTGTTCTTGGTGAGGAGGTTGCGCTCGATGCCTTCCATCAGGTTCTCGAAGCAGAGGTGCATGGCCTGCTGCTTCTCCGGGGGTTGGCTGTTCACAATGCTGTTCCTCAGGTCGGAGAAGTACTGGGGGGGGAGAAAGGCTGGGTGAGCTTCCAAAGGCTGCGTGAGCTGCCACAGAAAGGCTGGGTTAACTTGGAAAGGCTGGGTGAGCTGCTAGGGAACAGTTGGGTGAGCTTGGAAAGGAAAGGCTGGGTTAACTTTGGAAGGCTGGGTGAGCTTGGAAAGGCTGGGGCAGCTGCTATGGAAAGGCTGGGTTAACTTTGAAAGGCTGGGTGAACTTCCAAAGGCTGGGTGAGCTGCCACAGAAAGGCTGGGTGAGCTTGGAAAGGTTGGCTTAGCTTCCAGGGAAAGGCTGGGTTAACTCTGAAAGGCTGGGTTAACTTCCAGAGCCCGGCCAGCTCAGCTCTGGGATGCACAATGCCCTCCAGGAAGCCTCACGGCTCCTCTGGTGCCCTCAGAGATGAGGAATTCATTAAAAATGAGGGTAATTAGCGCCCGGTCCTGACCCCCCCCCCCCTCTGCTCCCAGGCCAGCAGCGCAGCGTCACCTTCTGCTGAGCTCATTACCTTCTCGTTGAGCAGAATCAGGCCGAGCAGAGGCCGCGACATGGACCACTGGTTCCTGCAGTCTTCGAAGATGATGATATTCAGCACAGTTGACAGCATCTGCAAGAGGAAAACGGAGCTGAGATCCTTCCAGCCCAGCCCTGCTCCCTGTTTTGGAGGCGTTTGCTCCCAGCCGGACCACAGCAGGATCCTCCCATCTCAACGAGTGCCTCCATGCACAGACGGCTCTGGGATCCTCCTGCAGCCTGCACAGCTTTGTGCTTCGTGGCCTCGTTATGAAGCAGGAAGAATTAAAGCCTGCATTTGACCGAGCTGCTTTGGAAGATTCTCTTTTACCCTTGAAAAGCAGCTTCTGGCCCCAACGGCTTCAGCTCCACTTGAGCTCCTAGCAAGGCAGCGCAAGGCGCCCTGCCTTCAGTGGGGCTGTGCTGACGTTGGCACCCGAGGGTGGGAAATGGTGGGGGGAGCAGCTGGAGGCACAGAGGAGCACAGGTTGGTTCTGTGAGCTCTGAGCACGGCCTGGGGCAACACGGGGCCACTGCAGGGCCTGCTGTGAGCACAGAGCACCCTGCCCTGCTCCAAGGTGATGAAAGGTGTCTGAAAGCAGCGCTCTGCGCTTGGCTGCGTCGCTCGGCTTCGCTTCTACCGACTGCCAGCACCACAAGGAGAATCCTCCTTTGCACGGGGAGAACCACGGCCCCAACCGTGGCTCTGAAGCAGCCCTGCCATTCGACGAGGCGCAGGAAGGAGCTGCGGTGGCCAAAATTGCCTCTGCCTCAGTTTAAACCCAGGAGCTGACAGCAGGAGCAGCCGGGGCTCAGGGGGGGCCGAGGGCCGTTCTCACCTGCTGGATCATCTCAGGGTGCTGCTGCATGATGTGCAGAAAGCGGTCGCTCTCCTGGGTCAGAGGCGTGGTCCTCTTCTTGGTGCTGCGAGACAGCTGCTTGAAGAGATAGGTGACTATGTGGTCCAAACAGGAGCAGCAGCCCGTGCAAACCATGGTGTCTGCAGGAAGAGGAATGAGGCAGAGGTTGGGATGCTGCTCACACACAGCTGGGCAGGACCCAGGGAAACGCTGCCATTGCTCTGGGAGGTGAGAACCACCCACAGCCATCGCCCCCCCCCTCCCCCCAGCCAACCTACATCAGCTCCAAATAGCAGCCAGGATCTTTTCCCCACTCCCAAACCAAAGCCCTACAAGGTGAACGACAGAGAGCAGAGGTAGTTACCCAGTGCAGTGAGGCCTTCTGAAATGGAAGAGAGAATATACATGATTACGTGAGGCTCCAGACTGGCTATAAAGTTCATGTGGTCCTGGGTCAGAACTTCCAGCAAGGAATAGTACGACTGGCTGAGCTTGGGATAGTCCTGCAGGGAGAGAGAGGGACGCCTCAGGCCTCCTGGCCGCCCTACAACCCAGCACAGACCTCCTGCACACCCAACCCACCCGTTTATCGCCTCAGAACTGCTCACTGCAGCTCCTGGAAGAGAGAACAAAGCTTTCCTGCAGCGTAACCGACGGGCCAACAACGTTTTCTCCCTCCTCTCCCACCGCCTGCCTTGCAAACAGGCTCCACCAACACAGCCAGCTTCCAACGCTGCTCTATCTGAACATCTTTCCCTTCTGAAGGGGAGCATTTGCTGCCTGCTGCCAAAGCTGGGGGTGCAGGGACAGCAGCTGTGTGCCTCACCTCCAAACCCACCCGGCAGCTCCAGGCCCAGCAGCCCAAGCTGGCGGTTCTTCCTGCAGTCGGTGCCACAAAAAACCCAGAGCAGGGCAGCCCTCCTGTCTGCCCACAGAACCCAGTGCAGCTCCTTTCACATCGCTGCTGAGAGGGAGATGGCGAGCAGTGGGCTGCCGTCCCTCCTCACTGTTTGGAGCAGCTGGGAGCCTCAAAGCTCTGCCACCAAACGGACTGTTGCACAGGAGCAAAGGTGGAAGCCTTCAGCAAGCGGGTGGCACCGTAAGTGCTGATGGTGGCCGACACAGAGACAAGGTGCCAACCTCTGGCCACAGGCAACGCAGGGAGGAAAAACCCTTCGCTGCAAGGAAGAGAAGCAACGGGCTTTGGGGATTGTTCTGCTGAGGTTTGGAGCGTGCCCTGCTGGGGGAGGAGCAGCAGGCGGCCCTGAGCGCAGGACCTGCAGCCACACATGGTGCAGGAGCTGCAATTTCCTGCTGTGCCAAACTGGGCTTCTGTGATTCAAGTATTGCTGCTCTCCTGTACAATCTGCGTGCTGACGCTGCTCGGCGCGGCTGCCTGCTCACCAGGAGGTCGCTGTGAGGGATGGAGAGCAGCAGCTTGATAAAGGTTTGCAAGGCGTTGTCCAGTGCGTCGTCCCCGTACAGACGGAACACCCCGAAGTTGACGTAGCTGCCGCTCAGCGCGGCCTTCAGCATGGAGAAGCAGATGGAAATGCCCTTCAGCTTCAAGGCGTAGACTTGATCCTTCGGCACCTCCCCAAGCGTTAGGATTCGATTTCCTGTGGGAGCACGGCACAGGACTCAGTGTTTCAGCCACCGCATTCCATCCCCTTCTGCCCCGGGGCGAAGGCGAAGCAGCAACAAGAAGAAGGCAGAGCCCCGAGGTGCCACCAGCAGATTGATTTCCAGCCAACAGTTCAGGACTGAGCTGAAGGCACGGCTCTGCTGCAGAAACAGGATGCGTGAGCACAGGGCTGCCTTCCACTTGCTCTGCAGGCCTGCCCTTGTCAGCTTGCACACCCACGAGGGGCTCAGCCCGGCTTCCTGCTCACTGCTGTCATTTCTTCCATGTTTTCCCAGTGAATGAAGCCCCACTACCCAGCACTCGAAGCAGCAGCAGCTCCCTGCATCCCAGCGCTGCCCCCCAGCCCCCCCTCCCCAAGCAGAGGAGCTGTGCAGGCCGAGCTGCCTGCAGCCCCCTGGGCACGCACCGTACGTAGTTATCATTTTACTGGTCTCTCTGAAGAGCAGGATGCCATTCGGCGAGGACACGTCAAACTGCAGCCGTTGGGACCTAAAAGACAGCAGAGGAACTGAAGCTGAGCCGTAGGTGGGAACGGAAAGAAGCTCACACTGCAGAGCCACGCTCCTCCCCGAGCGCCTCTGCTCTGCTTGACTTCTGCTGCTCGGCACCAGCAGGCTGTGGGCACCCAGGGCCAGCCAGGCTCTGCTTGCAGAAGAAAGGGCCCTACGTGCTGCAGACGTCAGGAATACGATGAGGCTGAGGGTGGGAATCCTGCCGTGGCGACGGTCGCCAGGCTGCTGTACACAAACACAGCGAGCATCTTGGAAGGCAGCGCTGCTGACCGGCTCCTATTCATAACGTGACCAAAAGTTCACAGCTTGGCATTTCCAGCCCTGCAGTGAATACATCTCCAAACTGAAGCGCAGCGAGCTGTTCAGGTCACCTCTGAAATAAACGAGTGACTTTTGCAGGAAGGTTTGTCCTGGCACAAAGACGCCATTGGGCCGTGCTCAGTCTGCCTGCAGGGATTCTCAAGAGCCCTGCAATGACCACGTCTGAACCTTCTGTCCTTTCCACTCGGCTGCGACGATGCTCCCTTCCTACAGGGCTGCGCTCAGCTGGCCGCAGGCCCCAGCAGCACCCTGGCAGCCCTCCGCTGCTACAGCAGACAGGCTGTGAACGATCTGCATGGCGTCAGAGGTCCCTCAGCGCTGGCAGGGAGCTCGTGGTTCGAAGCAGAAGCCATCAGCTGCCGCCAGGCGGAATTTAAGGGCAGCTTTTGCCAATCCACACAGCTCTCCTGCTTCCTTCCAGACACACGCTCAAAACTCAGCGCTTCGTCGGCTTCCTCTTGGCCTCGCTGAGCCACGACTGCTGGCTATGAGCTATCAGCTGTCCTCCCCCCGCTGAGGTCTTCCCCCCCTCCCACTCTTGGTGGTATGAGCAAAGCAAAGCAAAGCAAACAGGGCTGTCAACAGCCAGCCTACGGCTGAAGCAGCAGACGGGCGCCCATCTCTGGCAGCCTGCGGCCTCTGGGGTTCCTACCTGTTATGCACCAGCTCAGCCATCAGTTTGAGCACAGGCGTCGTGCAGGCTGGGTCGTGGTACCAGAGCTCAATGGCCCGCTGTAGGATTGGCATGTAGGATGGGTAGCTGGGAGGTGAGAGCTAAGGAGCTTCGTTGCTTCGTGTGAAAAAGAAAGGTCCCTGTTTCTATACCAAAAGCCTCGTTTTGTGCGCTGCGTCCTTGTAAAGCAGCCTGTGGACAAGGCTAAGCAGAGCTGGTGCTGCTTGCTGGTGTCTGCTTTACCTTACAGGTGAGAGGAGAGAAAAGCCTTGCTGGTGCACGGAAGGAATTGTGTGCTCACTCCTTTTAACAGCACAAACCAGAACCAAAAGGGCTTTGGACAAAACAGAGTGAAACAGGCAGCGGACCTTCAGCACCCGAGGGACATTTGGAGTGCAGGTGCCCAGCGAGCACAAGGAAAGCTTTCGTTGGTGCTGGGATGCACGAGGCCCATTAAGAGCCTTTGTGCTTTCCAGGTCAAATCTCTGGGGGCCCGTTTGGAAAAAGCCCAACAGTTGAGCTCTGAGCTGATGTCTGTGTTGACGTGGCTGCAGACAGAGCAAGTCAGAGCTGTCTGAGGGCCTGCAGACACCGGGCCATACAGAAGCCAAGAAAAACCCCAGCCTGAGTTTAGCAGGAAGAGCAGGGCACTGGGATGCAGTCAGAGCTCCCAGCAGGAGGGCTCCACAGACAGCGCGTGGAAGGATACATCCACTCAAACAGCATCATGAAGCTGGTCTTGGCGTTGAAGGCAAAGGCGATTCCCCTCAAGTCTCTCACCAAACCAACCAAAGTTCTCTGCGTTGCAAAAGAAAACCACTTTAAAAGGATCCGGGCCCCTCCAGCCCACAGCTGCCTCCCTTCCTCCCACCCCAGCAGCAGTGTGTTCCCATGGCTGCTGCCCATCCAGGTCGGACAGTTTGTCCTCTGAAGTGCCAGAAAGCTTCTTTAAGCTGAGTTAGGGTAGCGACAGCGCTGGGGTGTTTTGCTCCCAGCTGCCTGATAAGCCTCACGCCTTTAACTATGAACTGCATCTCGACCTGGAGGAGCACACAGGACATCCCTGCTTCTCCACGTAACGGCAGGAAAGCACCGGTCGCCCCAGCCACAAACCTGTCTTAGCAGAGGGCAGCACAGACAGCAGGCAAGGTTGCACCGACTTACTTTTGCCTCCTGTTCGTTGAAGGTATTTGTGCTGAACATCTGTGCCACAGTCTCAAAGGCAGCTGTCAGGGGAAGCATGAACTGCTCGTACTGATCCTCATCTTCTCCTGAAATGAGACAGAAATCGGGAGGAAACAGACTGCCCATCCCTGCAGCTCTGCCTCTCTGAGCCATGCAGACTCTGGTCACCCACACAGCCGGAGGCAGGGAGGCCCTGTGCTGCCAGGCAGCTGCTCCATCACTGCCAACATCCAAGCTACAGGACAGGCTCAGAGCGAAGCCTGCCATCCCAGGACAAAGGAACAACTCGGTCCCGGTCTCAAGCTTCTTTCCCTTCCTTTCTCACTCCCCATTTAGCTTTTCCCATCCTGGCATCCTTTCTGGAGGAGCTTACTGCTCTCTAAATAGCAGGGCTCAGCGCAGTGCGGGGCCAGCATCCAAACCACACAGTTACTGCTTAGCTCTGGATCCCACACAAAGCCCCAGGTACCTAAATCCACCATGAGAAGACGCCCGAGTGCCGTGTAGAACGTAGTCCGACATCTCATGTCAGTCAGGTTGGACTGATTGTTAATGCCCAGGAAGGAAAAGTGCTCGCTCTGCAAACAGAAGAGGCAGGTTAAAGGAGAACCAGCTGCTGGAGGAGGCTCCTGGGTTCCTCGTTCTCCTGCCTAACGCTGAGCCTGGGCAGCAACGCCGAGGAAGCCGTGCGGGATGTCAGAGCACCAGCAGAGGGCAACACGCACCGTGCCGGCAGGTTGCAGGGAGCTGCGCTGCCCACCCAGCCCCCCTGGCTGCCAGCAGATCCCTGCACTGCCGCTCTTCATCCGGAACTGCCCCGGAGCCACGAGGAAGCCTTGCTCTGCCTCCACAGCACAGCGGCCATCTGCCCCCCTTCCTCGTGGGGCTCCTTCAGGCGTCCCATGTACAAAAGCAGTCCCTGCTGCCAGATCCCCGCTTGCTCTGCCTTCACACGTGGGAAAGCAGCAGCCCTACGGAGCCAAACCAAATGCAGCTCCTGGACCAGAGCTCTGCCTGTAAAACATCCCCCAGCCGGAGGAACAAAGCGCCCCGTTCAGCCGGTCAGAGGACACGGCTCCCATGGCTGCAGCATCGAACGGAGGAGGGGCAGAAATCCTCTGCACTCTGCTGCTCACTGGGACACTCTGGATTTCCAGTCAGCATCCCAGGGCAGTGAGGAGCAGCGCTGCTACCCCACAGCTTCCTCCGAATCAGCGCTTCCGCCGTGAAAGCTGGGGCATTGGAATTGGCTTTAACTTCTGTAAGCAGTGCTGCTGCCCTTCTGTCTGCATGGCTGCAGTGCTGACTGCCTCCCGCTGCACACAGCTGTCTTTTGGTGCAGAGTAAAACAGCCCCACGGTAGCCCTTGTGGGATGGAAGGCACCGTGTAATTACAGCCCCTCCAAATTGAAGGGCGGGCTTTGGACAAAGATCCTGTTTTTAAGTACGATGGAAGAGAGGAAAACTTTGAGTCCAAGTGCTAAAATTGGGGGTTACCTCAGCTCCAGAGGGCAGACGGAGGAGTTGGTGGTGAGGCACTTACCGTGTGATTGTTCAGCATGAACTGCACAGCGCTCAGCTTCACCAGCTTTCTGACGCTGCTGTACGTAAGGGGGGGGTTAAGGAAGCTGCACGCAGCAGAACCACCTGCAATGCCTGCAAAGCGCTTTCTAGGGCGAGACTGGGGGAAGACTTGGGTCTGTTTTATTAACTGTGCTGTAGGTTCTCTCCCATCTGTCTCGAGAGCAGCCCTCACCAAGCTGCACACGCCTCTGCTGCAGAGAGCTGAAGGGATTTGCTTCTAAACTCTATCAGGAAGAACAAATAGGAGGGCATCGAGCAGACCACGACCGAGAACAAATCAACACTGTGGACGGTGAGCTGCAAACGATCCCAAGTTGGAAAGGATGGTGCTAAAGCCTTTGGTTACACCTCAGCAGCCCAACAACGCGGCGCTGAAGCACCTGCACTCGCTATCTTGTCAGCAGCCACGAGGTGAAGCAGTTTGGCCATCTGGGGGACGCAGAGCGCCGCTGTTCCAGCCGAGCACCTGGCTGCTCTGCCCTCCGTCCTGCACCCACAGCTCTTCAGAAAAGGATATCCGATGGAGAGGTCGTTGAGCAGCTGCAGCGTCTTGGAGGTGATGGGCTCACATCGACCCCAGTACTTCAGGTTGGTGATGCTAGGGGAGAGAACAGCACAGGTCAGAGGGCTTTGCTCGGCCTCCCCTTGGCTGCGCAGAGGATTTTTCTGGTCCAAAGTCACCCGACATCGGCAGCTCCACCCTCCACCAAAACCACAGACATTACAAGCCACGAAATATTGGTATAAAATCACTGTACTTACATTTGGTTGACTAGAAAATTATCCTTCAGATAATCTTCACTACTTGGGTCCCAAGCTACACTGGCCCATACCCAGGCCCTTGGAATTCTGTGGCACTCCAGGGCTGGTTTCTGCAGCAAGGGTAAGAGAATTCTGCGGCAGTGACTACATGCAGACGTATGCAATTCTGCACCTGCACCATCCACTGTCGGCTGCAGAATTCTAGTAGCCCTTGCTTCTTTTCCAGGAGGGCCACTTCACCCCTCGACAAGGCGCAGCTCAGGCGCGTGAGGGCGGGCAAAGGCCCGTGCACCTAACCAGGGGGCGATGCTACAGAAGCCAAGGGAGCTCGGAGCCAGCTGCTGCACAGCCCCAGGCACACGGCACTGGGATTCGGCCTGGAGCTGGGGAGGTGCTTGGGAACGCCGCCAGAGCACAGCCAGAGACAGGCTGGGGCCAGAGAGCTGAGCGCTGGAGTGGAAGAGCTTTAGGGAAAGGACCTGCGCTACCCTGGCACCGACCGGCACAAATGGCTCTGAAGGAGCAGCGCCCTCCACACAGAGCTTTCCGTGGCTGCTGGTTGCCAACGTCCCCCTCTCTGAGTGGTTTCACTGAGCAGGCACTGAAAAAAGAATCCGTCATCCTGGTGTACGGGTTCCTGTTGTGTCTCCACAGCCCAGGCTGCAATCCACGGTGCATCAATCAATCCTGCGTGATCGTTTAAGTCAGCCCTTGATCACAGCCTGTAATTCTCTCAAGCAGCCAGATGTTACTGCTTTTAGACAACAGCACTCCCTCACATTCCAGTCTTCCTGGTTACACCTTCCAACAAGCCCTGGAACCTCCGCTGCCTGCAGTCAGGAACACTTACATTTTCCCTATGAAGACGCTCAGGACCATGGTCTCATCGTTCAGCCCCAGGACCTCTGAGAGACGGCGGTACAGCTGGAGGGAGAGACAGCAGCGACTCAGAAAGTGCCCATAAAGCAACGAGCGATCCAGGATCACTTCATTTCCATTCGTCCTCCCTTTGCAGCCACAGGCTGCTGGCAGAGAACCCAGCTCTGAAACAAGGGTGTTCCTGTTCCTTGTGTTCTGAGAGTTCTCTTCTGCCTGTCAAGATGCACCAAGGCACCCAGAGTCCGGTCCATCTACCGCTGCCTTGTAATTAAGAAATGGCTATTCGCTTCAGAGCTGAGGAAACCAGGCACAGATACGACGGCTTGGCTTCTGCTGGCTGTTGGATCAAGTGACTTTCACGTGCACGGAGCCTTAAGGGCCTCTGTGAAGTCACAGAAGGAAGCTGGGGGATAAAACCGAACCCAGAGCTCAAGCTTAAGGCTGCTGTCACCATTTCTGCCTCCTTCCCCACGCACACAGAGCAGCTCAGGGTTTGAAGCGTTAACGCAGAGCCAGAGCAGGCAAGTCTCCTAAGTGCCACCTGCTTTCATCCCAAAAAGTGAATCATAGAATCACTAAGGTTGGAAAAGACCTTCAAGATCACCCAGTCCAACCGTTCCCCCATTCCTAACAGCTCCTACTAAACCACGTCCCTCAGCACAGCATCCAGCCTTTCCTTGCACACCCCCAGGCTCGGTGCCTCCCCCACCTCCCTGTGCATCCATTGCAGTGCTGATCACCATTCTGAACAGCAATTCTTCCTCATGTCCAGCCTGAATCTCCCCTGCCGTAGCTTGAAGCCATTCTGCTCCTATCACTGATGACACGAGAGCAGAGGCCGACCCCCAGCTCACTGCAGCCTCCTTTCATGCAGCCATAGAGAGCAGTGAGGTCCCCCCTGAGCTCCTCTTCTCCAGGCTGAACATTCCCAGCTCCTTCAGCCTCTCCTCGTCAGCTCTGTGTTCCAGACCCCTCACCATTTCATTGCCCTCCTTTGAACACGTTCCAGGGCCTCAATATCTTTCTTGCAGTGAGGGGCCCAAAACTGGACACAGTGAAGCTACGACTGCACTTGGCATGGCAAAAGACACAAAGGAGATTACCTTGGAAGACTTCTGCACCTGATCTCCAATATAGATCTTCCGGAACTGCTCAAAGAAGCTCAGCATGGCAAGCTCCAACTTCTCATTGCCAGCCTGTGCCAGCCGTGAGTCCGTCAGGTTCATCAGCTGCAGCACCCTGCAAGGAGGGGGGAAACAGAGGTCACTGCTGCTGGATGCAGGAGCGCTGAGGGGCTTCAGGCACCCAGGGCTGCTTCCAGCAGTGCTTTTTACTTTCTGCATTGCTGCTTTGGGTCAGCAGTTAACTAAAGTGACAACAAGGCCGACTGGCATGCATTGCTTTTCTGTGCAAGGCCACTCTAAGGCCTCCACGTCCCTTCCAACAGGGATGGCAGGCCCTGGATTGAACTTGCTAAAGCAGGGAGTTTCAGGTGCTGTAGCACCACTTCTCCAGGGATGGATCCAGCCTGTTAAGCACTGCTTCTTCCCTCTCAGTGAGGCTCCACCTGGCTTCTGTTGTGAGCCCTGTGGGAAGCTGCGTGCAGGGCAACCAGGGCTGGGACTGCAGGGTGACACAGTGCAGCAAACAGGGCAGAAGAAGTGACATCCCAGCCAGTGCCACAAAGCACAGGTTCTTATCAACACCTAGCATACATGCTGGCACTGAGAGTGACTGTCATATACACCAGGTCTCACCATTTCCCCTTCAGTGACTACTTGGGAAGCCAATGCTTGGTGTAATGTATCAGCCTTGGCTCTCCAGCAGACCAGCTTCCACACCTGGCCAGGTGAGCTCCTCTTCCCACCCTTCCAGAGCACAGCAATTAAGCTCTGAACTGCAAGGCATTCAGTGGCTCAGGGCTGTTTGTAATTCTCACATCCAACAAGTGGTTGCACTGAGGGTTTACCACCCCCAGATCCATCAGGCATCAGAGGACAACACAAAGCCTTAAACACGTGCAGCAGGGCTACAACACCTGCAGTGTATCCAGCACAAAACCCACTTTGGGTTTTTAACAAGAGATTTCCCCCCCCCCCCCCCTCACCTCAGAGAACCATCATTCATTTAGATCTACTTCAATGCAGGCATTTAAGCCCAGGATGAACTGCCCTCTTTCATGCTCTTCCCCTCTCACCCTCTTCCCTACAACCCAGCCCTCCCAATTTAGCCAAGCCTCAGCAGAAATCTGAGCTGCCAATCCCTTCTTTCAGGACGGCCAATCCCACACCGTTCTGCTCAGCAAAGAGAGGGGAAGAACATGGTGACAGCTTCGTGACAGCACTTCTTGGACAGACTTGAAGAGTGGAGCAGCTAGAAAACAGTCAGCATCCCTACCGACAGACCAGCTCGCCGTCCATTGCATCCTGCTCATCTGTGCTGGCAAATGAGACCCTACCACCAATCACTGCCCCGATGATGTAGACCAGCCACGTCAGGCGCCCTGCAACCAACAGAGGACATCAGAACCAGGCGCCGCACATCACAGGCAGGAAGTGAGGAGAGCTGCACTTCAGGTTGGCAAAGATGGGATTCTGTGTCTGTTTTAGTGCCAAGTATACCAGCAGTACAGCTCCCCACAACAAGCACGTCTTGACGAGGGAGGGAATGAAGGATGCCAGGTCTGCTTGGAAGATGCTCGTTATTTAAAGCCATTCCTTAGCAGAAAGTCACTGCCTCGTAAAAGCGCATCCTGTGTTATTTAAACACGTGCAGCGCCAGCAGGCAGCACTTATCCTGTCAAAATCCATGTGTCTGCTGCAGAAATCAGCATCACTGAGCTCTGCCCACACAGTGGCACTGCAAGAGATCAAATGCTGCTTCGGAAGGAAGCTGTGGTCTCTAAACTCGTGCTGATGTGCCCGATTTCTGCAAGGAGGGCCTGCAAGCCAGCTGTGTTGTAGAGAAAGGGGCGAAACACAGCCGTACCCACCTCTCCAAAAAGGTGCTGCTTTTTCTGTGGCTGATGTTAAAGGATTCCTACACCAAAGAATGGCAGAGCACCCTGTGCTGCACACAGACTCCCCTTCAGACAGAGGTTTGCAGCTTTCTCCCAGTTATTCATCCCAGCCAACTGCTGCCCAGGCAGAGCTGTTGAGATGAATGCAGCTCACCCTCCCTCACACAAAACACAGAGCAGTATCACATCACCCATCACGTGGATCAGAGAACACCCTTAAAACCCACCTCTGTGGGACCAGCAGGCAGATGGATGAAATCGTTCCCCCAAAAAGGTGTGCAGTCAAATTACAGGACAGCGACACCTCCAGCAAGCACTGCTGTGCGTTGGCAACGTCTGCCCACAGCCGATATTCCGTACCACAGAACACCTCCCCAAGGGAAACACGTGCAAAATCTGGCCGCCCTGTGTGGGTTTCAGCAGGACTGCAGGCTTCTGGCAGCGCTGCTCTCCCACAGCTCACCTTCCTGCACAGCAACGTCCATGGGGCTGGCGGTGGCGCTTTGCAGCAGCTCCTGGTAGGACTGGGCCGACTGGTCAAAGAGCTGCACGAGCAGAGCGCACGTCTTCTCATACTCACACCGGCCGATGGTGGAGAGCTGATCCAGCTGCTGCTGCACCAGGCCGGTGTCATCCAGGGGATCCTCCAGACCATCCCTGCACGGCGAGAGAGCAGCTCAGAGAAGGGCTGAAAAGGCAGCGGCGGCCCAACCTGGACGATGAGCCTATGGAGGCGCTTGCCCTGGGTGCAAGCACTGCAGTGAGCGAGGGCTCCGTTGTGACAGAGCTGCACCGACTGATCCGGTGATCTGAAGGCTGCTGCAGCCATAAATCAGCAAGACAAGAGTGGTTGGGGTGCAGGGACCCCGAGGAGCTGGGATGAGCAAGCTCTTCTTACAGCTTTCTGCTTACAGATGGTTAGCTGAGCGCCAACCACAACTCCTCTGTCTTTATGACATCAAGCTTTCCATCTTCCCTCGTGTTTCAGCTTCCTTTCTCTCTAACTGCATCCACCTCAGCACTGCACTGCCAACACCAGAATTAAACCATAGATCTGCTGTTCCACCCGTGCTTCCTCAGGTACCTCAGCAGGGATAAGCTGATCTGTCTCCCCTTCGTTCACAGATTACTTTTCTATGCCTGCCATACAAACACAAGGTGTAACTCATGCCAGGCAAACAAAGGCACTGCAGCAGGGTCCTCCAGGCTGCCTTCCCATTCAAAGTAAAGGGGAGACTTTCAGGCATGATTTGTGCCATCCTACAGCAGATGGAAAATTCACAGAATCACTTTTTATGTGCTTCTCCCTCTCTGTTAGGAGGGGAATTCGGAGTGCAAATGGCATTGTGCCATTTGGGTGGGTGAGAGCACCTCTGAAACCACCCGGATCGACCTCAAACACGAGTGACTGAGGTCTAAAGGAACAAGAAAAGCTTAGAAGATGCATGTTCAACACAGCATAATAGTAGACAGAAGGTGAGATTGAGGTAAGCTTCCCCCAGAAACCCTCTGGTGACCCGCAGGACTTCCTGCAGCCACATCTGCTCCTAAAAGAACCATAGAATCACCAAGGTTGGAAAAGACCTTCAAGCTCATCCAGTCCAACCGTTCACCCGTTCCCAACAGCTCCCACTAAACCACGTCCCTCAACACAACACCCAGCCTTTCCTTCAACACCCCCAGGCTCAGTGACTCCACCAACTCGGGACAGAAGCACCAGAGCCTCCTGTGCCAGATCCCAGTGCCTGCAGCCATCTCTCTGCCTTCCATACCTCAGTATGATGTGCACAGATTCCAGTCTGGACGTGATGTACGCCTTGGTGACTTCAGGTGTGTACGTTTCCAGCATGTGAGGCTCGGTGGCTTTCACGTAGGGCACCGACGCCGCCAGGCGCTGCCACAAGCTGAGCAGATAGTGAACACTGTTTGGTGCAAACTCCCAGTGCTGAAGAGCCAGCAGAAAGGAAAGGAAATCAGTGAGCTGTGATTATTTTATCCGCTTGTTTGGACTTCTGCAGCACAGGAAGTGCAACAGCCAGCGGGGGCAGGTGAAGCAGCTCGTACCTGCAGGCTGGTCACGGTGAAGTTGGCAATGAGTCGGATGACCTCAGGGTAGTTCTCCACCTTCACCAGCTCCCCCAGCTGGTAATTGCTTTTCAATCGGGCCAGCAATCGGCAGAACTCGTGGTAGTTGTTTGGGTCTGATAAACTCTGAGGGGGGAAAAGAAAAGAACTGAGGAACAGCACCGCTCAGCAAGGGGAGGAGGCAGAGATGGAACGGAGCGGCACAACGTCGCCCCACTGTCCCCAGTGCCAAAGGTGGGATGTGTGCATTAGAAAGCATTGCTGGAGAAGGAACTTGAAGCAGAGGGAGCAGAGAATCCCAGTGCCTGCACTCAAGCTCTCACCTGGGGGTTTTCCAGTATTCGCTTGACTCCATCAACGAGATGAGACAGAAACTTCGCTCGTTCCGCGTTGTTGAAGAGGGATCTGCGTACAGAGGCGATCTGCACTAAACAGGACAACACCTGAACGGGCAGGGATGAGCAGAAAGGAGGGGTCAGAACACCAGAAGGAGCAATGCGGTCACCCTCAGCTCAAACCCCTGGAATCTCACTGCAAATCGATTCCAAAGGTGCAGCTGCTGTAGCGAATGCCCAGTGAGTGGGGATAGGAATCGCCCAGCAGCGCCACCAAAACAATTCCTGAGGTCCTTCTGGGACCTTCAACCAACAGCAAGGATCCCAGATGAGCCCTACAGACCCCTTGTGGTTGTGGAGTCTGTAAGGAACACCAACAGCCCACTTACCAGAGGAGAAAACGAAGGAGGGATGGAATGATAAAGATCAAAAAACAGCTGAAGGGTCGAAGAATCCAAGAATGCTGAAACAGAACAGAACGCTGGATTGGCAACACCTCCAGTCACTGCTTTCCACAAACCTAAGGCCTGCGTGGCCAAATCGAGACGAGCTGTGTGCTGTCACACGGGGCACTGCGCTCTGAAGAACCTCTCCACAGGATCTTACATTTTTACATCACTTGCTTTCTGGCTTTTCCAGAAATAAAGCAGCTGCTCTGTGGCGCTGGGACAAAACTACAGGGTCATATTTTAAGAAAGCAGCCAGAAGGACTGCCTGCAAAATGCCTGGTGAGAAGAGGAAGGGTGTGAAGAACAGGTGACGAGCTGACTTGTTATTCATAGCTTTTTTTTGCCCTTTTCTTTTTTTTTCCCCCCTTAAATAATGGACTGTTTCTTGAATTGGCCTCTACGTCTGGCACTGCGGGCACCAGCACAAGTGCAGAAAGGCTTCCTCAAGTCACCCAGACCTCCAGCTGGTACGCCTCCATCCAGGCCTCTGCCCCCAGCAGGATTACCTGATCTCCAACTGGTTGGGATCTGCACAGTGCAAAGATCATCTGAGGACTCATCCGTCGACGTGCCGATGAAATCAAAGTTCAGGCAATTATGAGTGAGCTTTAGAAGCTGCATGAGCAGACCGTGCTGGCTCTCATCATTGAGGTTCAGGTTCTTCCCAGAAGCCTGTAAGAGATGGAGGATTCGAAAAGCATAGGTAAGAAAATCGAGGTGACAGCTGAGGCTGGGAGCCCAACTCAGCTTCATGGGGATGCAGCAGCCACAAGGATCACACAGCAGCCAGCCCTGCTGCCCCACTGACAGCATCTACACTCAGTCTTCACATGAGGTGGGTAAACACAGGGCTTCCTCTGCCACCTGCTTTGTGCTGCACAGGAGAGAAGCAGCCAGGCCTGCCAGCATGCAATTCTACCGTGAGATTCCCGAGATGCAGCAGCTCTTATTGAGGTTAAACTCAAGAACACGCGTTGTGCTGACCAGCACCGGGCAGCAGGGCATCCTGTCGCTCCTCCCAGCCCTCGGATGGAAAGGAGTGCATTCACTTGTGCTGCACAGCTGATGTGTATCAGCCCTGCTCCAGTTGCAGAGCTCTGGCACACTCTCAAGTGGCACAAGGAACTCGGTGGGTCTGAGACACGAGGTGGCTTCACTGCAGCTTAAATGCAGCACTCGGGGCTGCACTCCAGGGACAGGCCGGCCTCTCTCTGCTTTCTATCGCTGCTCTGTGCTCGAAACAAAGCAAACCTCTCCCAGCTGAAGCCCGCTGCAAATAACACTGCAGTGCGCTGACGCTGCCAAGAGCCGTGCCAGCAGGGCTGGAATGTCTTCTTCACTCCCTCCACAATGAGGGGATTCTTCTGGGGCTGCCTGACTGCCTGCTGTTTTATGGATGCTGACAGAAGCGCGATCGCTGCTTTCTGGCAGCCCATCTCCAGTTACTCTCAAAAGGATTTGGGCGTTCAGATAAATCCAGTCCTGCTTCAACGCCTTCCACAAACACCAGCAAGGCTGCACTATGCTCCAACCCTCAGCTCAGCCACCCGGCCGGGTGCTTCTCTTCACAAAAGCGGAGGAAGCCCACTCGAATACATCCTCAGCTGAAAGAAATAGCTCAATTCAGATGTTACCAGAGCTGCTCAGGGCGCACAAGGAATGAAAACCAGTGTAAGTGTGCAGGCCGTGCTTCCTTTGGAAATCAGGGTAAGAAAAAGCAGCTCAAATCACTCCCACATCCCCGCTTTGTTACTGGCAGAACGAGAGCTGCTGGTTTTAAACCATCTTTAAAAGAAAGCCTGCTTTTCGCTCTTTGTGCTATTTGTCAACGCCGACACATCGTTCAGCTGGAAGGATAAAAGCTGAACCACTCAAATCTGTGCAATTGCTGCACAGATAACATAAACCCGAGTGGAAGCTTTCCTAAAGAGCAGAACAGAGCACACAGAGTTCTGAGATCTGCATTGGAAGGAATGTCAGCCCAAAGGCCGCTGCCACGACTCGCAGCCCCCAGGAATCGACGGCTTCCTTACCTGTTTCAGCAAATTGCATGACAGTGTGAAAATATCAAATAAAGATGAATCCCGGAAGGAAGAGGCTATTTTCCTGTGCTTGGTCAGAGGATGAGTCGTGTCAGCCTGGGCAGAGAGAAAAGCAGAGCTTAGAACCGGCGGGCAGAGGTGGCACGAGGCCAGCACAACACACAGCAGCTCTGGGGACACCAAGGCTTCCCTCCAGCACGGCACCAGGGGACACACTGTGCTCCCTCCTCTGCACTGTTGGCTCGCAGTGGAACCCCTCACCTACACCCCCGTTCTGCTGGATCCCTGGGTTACGCTCCAGCTCATCTGAACCCCCTCCAAAGCAGGACTGCAGGTGGCATTTGTAACGGGACGGAATCATGGAGCAACTCGAGCGCTGCTTTGTGAAGCAGCCCTGAGGGCTGGATCCTACCTGAAGCCGCTGGGCAGACACTCGGTCAACTACTAGCAACTAAAAGGCCACTTAAACATCCCCTCCTGCACCTGCACAGACGGGAACAAGACTAGCAGAGTTAACCAGCAGCACACAGTTTGGACTTCGGTGTATCTGTCCCAAACTCCAGGCCTGGATCTCTCATCGGATCGGAATAAAAGGTGACGCGTGGTTTGGGAGGCAGATCAACACAGACTGCTGGACAGGGGGTGACAAAGGCACCGATTCAGTGACCGCAGTGTGAACTGGACTGGCAGAGGCTCGTGGCAGCACAGACTGCCACTCTGCAGGCTGCTCGGTGATGGGCACAGCAGCAGGGCTTCCCACAGCCATTACAAACCTCCCTGCTCGCAGCAAACCGGAGTTTCCCTCTCCTTTAGCACAGGGTGTAACTCAGAGCTCCTGGAGGCACGCAGCACCTCCAGGCAAATCCGTGCAGCTCTTCAGGATGAAAACTGAGAGCTCTACACAGTTCCTAAGCGCTCGGTTCCATTTGTGCTGCCAGCTTTTAGAGCACCAGCTTTAGTCAACAGAGCTTCAGCAATTTCTGCTCTTGCATAACAGAAATGGAAGTTTAAATAGCTACCAGGAAAAGCCTGAGGACAAGGTGGGATTTTTTTTTTGCTTGTTTGTTTGCTGTGTGCTTGACCCCGCTCTGACGAGTGGGAATGTGGACAGAAGGATTGCTGTGCAAGTGGTGGCACTTTGAGACATTCCAAGGTGAGGCAGTGGATGCAGCCCTGCGCAGGGCCAGCACAGGAATGCACAGCAACCTGAGGCAGATTTGATAGGCCAGGGTTTAGGGAGGGAATTCTGAGTGCAGACTCGGAGTTCATTGCTTTTCTGTTTGTTTTTACATCCATCTGTAGGGAGCGGGGAGGTGGAACAGGTGCCAGATTGTGGCTGATGGCTGCTGTGAGCACAAGGGCAGCCCTGCAGGGATGCTGACTGGGGGAGCAGGCAGAGCCCCTCCATCCCTGGTGTGAGGAGGTGCAGGACCTTCCTTCGTGCAGATGAAGTCACTGCCAGCAAACTGTGGCAGCAGCTGAGGCAGGAGGAGCTGCAGGTTGGGATTTACTGACCCAGCCAGGCTTAAGAAAGTGAATTTGGGTCTGCAATGGTTGCAGGTGCTGTTCAGATTACAGAGAAGGGCTCGGGAAGCTCAGTGATGCTGAACTTTAATTTCAGCAGGAGAAACTGGTGCTTTGACCGGGCCAGGATAACACCTCCACCATTTCTAGTTCTGGAGACTGCCTGTCATCATCTCTCAAACCCCACACACGGATCAATGCATTCTGGTGCTGGGATTAGTCCATTCATTAGCAGAAGTTACAGTTTTCCTTAGTTAGACACTAAAAATAAAGAAAATAATCAGCAAAACCCACTGAGTTCTATGGGCAGCGGAAGCCACTCTGTGCCACTCGGCAGGGAAGCGATGCAAGACAGCACCAAGCAAAACCACAGCACTCCTTAACCCCAGTGAACCTGAACTGTTTGGGAAGGGGCCAAAATCCAGCACTGAGTGACCAGGCTGCTTTCAAAGCCTCCACAACCTGACAGACCCTCTTTGTTTTGTCTCTCCTGGCACAAGAACCGAGCTGTAACAACGCACAGGGTCTGAGCAGGGGAGCTGGCAGCGACGTCCTGATGCTCTGGGCCTGGACTCGCTGCTCCCTCCTTTCTGATCTCAAAAGGTTACATGGAAGTATGAGAAGATGGGAGATGCCAGTGAAACAACACAGCTCCTCAGGCCGGGAGGAAGCAGCATCTTACAGCCCAGCTATGGGACTGGGTGAGAAACAAACAAGAAAAGAGAAATCCCACCCGCTATGCAATGCTCCCCACACCAACAAGGAAAAAACAACCCCCAGAAAGACAACCAAAAACCCCCACCAAGGCACAGACACGGCAGGACACAGCAATATGAATGAGAAAATTGGACACTTACTTCACTGAGGAAGGCTGTAGCACTTACTTGATTAATTTCATTAGTTAGTTGGGACAGGATTGTCACTCCTATGATGCAGTGCTCTACACTGTCCTGAGGAAGGAGGGGACAGGGAAAGGAGTTACTGCTGGGCTGCTTTCAGCAAACATCGCTGCCACTCACAGCTCTTTCTGCTTGGAAGACTTCTAGACATCTTTCTCTACAGCTGCTTTACCCCTGGATTATTACGACTGGGAAGAAGCCTGGGAGCAGCAGCAGATGAGAATTGAAATGCAGTTAGGAACGACTTGATCTTGTGAACAAGGTTTGATGAGGAACGTGGTGATGTGAGCTCGCAAATAACAGGCTCCTCTTATTTAACAGCTTAATCCCCGTGTTTGTTTCATACCCCAACCCTGAGAAGATTGGTGACAACGATGGTTTGTTTTTAAACCAGTTCCCTTGGTTTTAACAGCAGCTGTGCAGACATTCTGCGACACCAGGGTGGCTCCAGAGCTGTCAGGTGGCAACTATGGGAAAAGAAGTCTTCTTTCTGAGCTGCAGGCCTGGAATAACAGGAGCAGCAGCCCCACGGCCCATCTCCCAGGGAAGGGAGCCCATTCTTCACAGCCTTTTTGGCCTCTGGTTGCACTGCAGACTGCCAACAGGGGCCCTGTTGTGAAAGGAGCCTGCTGTAGATGCCTCTTCACTATAGAAACTGCAGCCCACTCAGAGATGGCTCCACAGAAGTGACCTGCATTGCTCCTTTGCCCCAGCTCCTGCTCTGTAGCTAACCAGCGATGCTTCCTCCCCTGGCTCCACACCTTGGTCAGCACATCCTGCTCAAACTGCCCTCATCTCTTCCAACTTCCAATACCAAACTCACCTGCGACACAAATCCAGGCACGTTTTGGTCTGGGACTTTCACCATTTCTTTATGGGAGCCACCTGTTGCCCATCAGCTCAGTGTTTGCACACTATCTAGACAGAAGGCACTGGAAAACCTCCCTGCTATCAAGATTAAATGAGGACAGCTGGCAGAGCAGGTTGATTTTTTAGCTTTAAGCCTTGGAGTCACTCCTCGTGTGTTCAGTCAACAAATGCAAATCAAATGAAAGACCAAACAGAGCTGCAGAGCAACGCAGAGACTTTCAAATCCCACAAGACGTGCATTCATCTTAAATTCTGACCTGCAAGAACCTCGTGACATCTGTGATCACGTTCCTGAAGACATATTCATCCTTCTGACAGTCAAACCAGCCCAACTTAGTGATCCTGGCATACAGCTGGATCAGTGCTTGTGTGACAAACGTGGCCAGCTTCGGCCTGGTGGCAAGGTAGTTGAGCACATAGTTTCCTGGAACAGAGAGAAGAGGTTTCTGAGACAAAAACACGGCAGCTGGAGCTGAGATGGCGCTGCTGTGTTAGGATCAAAGTATCTTTGCGAAAGCAGGTCAAGGAAATAAAAAAATCAACCCTCAGATGAGCACAGCGGTGGGTTGGATAAAAAGGTGGGTTTTGTTTGTGCCTTTGAGGTGTGAGAGCTGTGGGACAGATCTGGAAAGCGGGCAGACAGGCGTGAGCTCCTCCCCCAAAGGCGCCTCGCTGTGTGGCACCAGATTAAATCCCATCCTCTGTGCGCACGTGTGAGCAGGGAGAGAAGCTGGAAAGGTTTCTGAGATCTCAGGGCCGATCGTTTATTGCATCACTTCCACAAAGGAAAGCAGATTCAGAGCCCTTCCCTGGAGGAAAGGAAGCATCAGCCACAATCCAGGGAAGAGCGCTGCGACACAACGGCTGCTCCCTTAGGAAACACTGCCTGATATTCCAGAGAGCCAGAAAAAATTCACTTTGGAAAGCGTGCCCTCCGAAGGGGAAACAGCACGTGTGTGTTAAGGTCCAAAGGGAACGTATCCAGGATTCATTCACGAGCCTCACAGTCACCAATCCCCTCCATCTCCTCAGCCCTACAACTTCAACCTGGAGCTCCACCAGGAGACTCCGTGCAAGACGATCCTTGCTTTCCATCCCACGCCTCAGTGTGAGGCACAGGAGGCTGCACAGGGCTGCACAGGGCTGCACAGGGCCTCCCAGGCGGGGATGAAAGCGTGCACAACAACTTCTCGCGTTCCCTCCGCAAACCCAAGCCCTGTACTCACGGATATCAATTCGCTGCTCCAACGGTAGCGGGTTGTTTGTGCGTGACACGAGTTTCGTAAGGCATGTAGCTGCCAGGAGCTGGGAGTAGGACGACTGTGAAGAGAAACAAGGCACTGAGAGCACATTTCACAACAGGAGCATCAAGCGGCAGTGCTGGATGCTAAGCTAGCTGCCTGCTGGCAATCCGGGTTTCAGATATTGGTTTTACGTCCTCTGAACCTCTGTGCACGCACCATCCCCCCCACAGCCCTTGTAACACCTTCCTTTTGAAGCTTGGCACGGCTGGGTGGCAGCCTGCAAAGAACTTGCAGCAAAGCCCACCAAGAACTGACAGCTACGTGCAGCTGGTTCTGCTGCAGCGCCTGCCGTCAGCGCGCCAACGCTTTCCTTGGCAGAGGATGCCTACAAATGCAGACAGACACACAAGCACGCCGCGTGTGCAAGACAGACAGTGCAGAGCAGAACCCGGGGCCAGCAGCCCCATCCACGTCCAGAAGACTGAGACCCGCTGGAGGTGTTTTTGCTTTACATACACTCCCTCTTTCTAGAAGCAGCTGGCACTTGCTCAGGCAGTCGGGACTGTTGGTGAACTCAACCAGGGCCTTCTCTGCCTGCAGCCGTGTCGCAGTGTCTGTGGTCTCATACAGCTGCTTGCACAGGTTCTCTAGCTGGGCTAGGCTCTGGAACAGAGAGGAAAAATAGATGAGAAATGAGGTTTTGCAGTTTACTGAATGCACTGTCACAGCTGTTTCTGTGCCAAGCAGTGGAGACCCCCCCATCCCTGTTTGGATTCCCTTTGTGGGGCAGGGTGACAGACCTCAGCATCCCAGGATGCTGGGAGGACTGAGAGGAAGCCTTCAGCACTGCATGCCACAGCTGCCTGAAGCACAAGAGAACCAACGATGCGATGGCTGCCTCTGTGAAGGGAAATAAAAGCCCCAGGCAGGCTGTGCTCAAACAGCTGGGGAATATTCACCCTGAGCCAGGCAGATGGTTTTCCCCCAAGGCGTCCCAGCTAAAAAGCAGCTCCGTGGATGGACATCAATACTCCCTCAGGTTCTTCCTGCTGGATTGACAAGCAGGTGTTTCCCACTGCTGTAGGGCTGCTTGCACAGCAGGACAGCATCGGCTGCTTGCTTTATTCCTGGACACATCCTCATGTTAAAACCACATCCGTGCCATGGTCAGCGCACAGCCCAACGCTCCTCGTGCACAACTGCAGCGACTTCACACAAAGCTTTTGATGCTGCCAAGGCCACCAGATGAGACAGCATCACAAGAGACCCAAGGAGGGACCCTGGTTGCCCTTTCCCAGGTAATGAGCACATCTGCTGGTAAGTCCTGCAGGTGGGGTCCCCTGCAGCAAGGCCCCCAGCACCCTGCAGCCTTTGTTACTCCTGCTAAGGAGGGAGGGCAAGGAACTCAAACCCAGGAGATGAGTCCTGGGTGCAACTTCACTGCTTTCTGGCAAACCCATGGCTGGCAGAGGGCTCCCCAGGCACTGCCCTGTAAGGATCCACTGCCAGCAGTGGAAAAGGGCTCTAGAGAGCGTGTGACACCTCTGGCAAGAAGCACCCGTCCTTTCAAGAGCTCCTTCTGCCCAGTTTTGCACCCCCTGCAGGAATTCCTCGAGCTCAGGCACACAGCTTCCTCGCAATGGCCCTCGCAGCTCCAACAGACTCCAGTTCTCACTGCTGTGGGGCTCAGCAGCACTGCCCGATGGCTTCTGTTCAGCCTGGCTGTGACCTGAGCCAGCCCACGTGCAGAACCCGCCGCCTTCACTGCATCAGAGCCGCACAGCTCTCACAGGGCTCCAGCAGAACCTCCTCAGGTCACGCAGGAGTCAGGGCCGCCGTCAGGGGATGCTGCAGCCACTGCAGCACAGCTTTCAGGTGAAAAACAGATGTAGGAGAGCTGCCCCCAGTTATCCAGCAGCTCCGTGGAGAGTCCGTGTCCACGCCAGCTGCTGGCACTCATCCCATCTCCTGTGGCGCTGCGTGAGCCGTCCTGAGCATCCCAGCAGCCCAGACCTCCAGCTGATCTTCGCTCCATGCTTCTTTCACACACTGTCCCCAGAAGCAGAGCTGCAGAGGTGGCACACAGAGAAACAGCAAAGCCTGGGAGGGCGATGCCAAGAGCGAGCCAAGGCTCCACGTGCGGAGCTTTCATTCTGCGTGCCCACGGTAAACCATCATCCTCCCCACCAAAGGGACAGCAATGAAGCCAGCTTCACTCCTGCACGGCGACGCTGGGGCAGCAAGGAGGCAGGGAGCACCTCAGCAACGCCTCTCCTTCAGGCAAGATAAAAAGGCAGCACTCAGTGTAACGACCAGGCAGTGTGAGCACCCTGCGTGCTCCAGATAAGCACTAAAGCATGAGACAGCAGAGCCTGTGAAGCACGGAAAGGCTCCGGCACGCGGGGCTTTGCTGAGGGTCAGAAAGGTAAAATGGCACCGAGGGCAATTCCAGCTGACCAACCCCTGGGTTTTCTTTGCTCTTTTGAGAGCAAGGGGGATCTGAAAACATGATTTACAAAGCAAGATTCTGCAGGGCGGCTGAGAAGGCGGCCAGCTTCTGGTCTGAGGGTGTGCAGCAGCAGCAGGCCCAGCTGCTGGGGACATGGGGACAGCAGTGGAAGGAGAAGCAACGAGTTGGCGTTGAGGTGCTGAGTCACAGCAGGCAGCCCTGGGCTCCCAAACCTCCCCTGCTGCCTTTGGCAGAGCACTGCGAGCCTGGGGTTCTGGTGGGATGCTGGTACAGCCGCAGCTCCTGCAGCAACCCAGGCCCTTCAGTCCACTTTCTCTCCCACACTTCATGCTGTACCGAGGCTCAACGACAAGCTGGAACCCCAGCCAGCAGCACTGAGCTCAACTGTGAGCCCAGAGCAGTTATAGGAACGCTGAGCTGTGTTCACAGAACTGCTGTGCTAAGGCTCCTCAGCTCAGACACCTCGTGGCGTCGCTGCCTACAGCCCCACACCCTTTCCCTGTGTTCACCTATTTGGGACAGCACTGGCCTCTTTCTGAACCCTGGCAAGGTTCATTTCACAGTTCTCGGGTTGGTTTTGCATCTCTTCTCACCCTGAGCACAACGAAGCTGTGGGCCTGATGCAAACCCACGGGCAGGATCCACATCAGGGATCTTCCACGAGGGCCGGTTGCCCTGCGCACACAGCAGCCCCTTGATGAGATCTTGGCCTCGGATGCCTGCCTGCCGAGAGCAGCTCTGAAGCTCAGAAGGCAGAAGAAAAGCAACCCATCAATCTTATTTCTACCACGAGCTGCAAATAAAACTCATCACTGCGCTGGGTTTTCCCCACGGTGAAGATAAACAACGTGCGATCATCTTTAAAGTGATAAACACTACAAGGAATGCAACAGCTACCTAAAAAGGAGCCCCTGGGGGCTGGCTGTGCAATTGATCCTATATTACACGGTTGCTTAAGCAACGCTCTTTACATCCAGGGGTTGCAATAAGCTGCAGGCAGGTTCAGTTCAATAGGGTTTGAGTTCCCATCTCAGGCAGGGAAGGCTGTGCTTGGCAGGCCCAAGATGGAGCAGCACAGGGAGCCCCCAGCACAGCCACTAACAGGTTCAGCACAGCCACCCAAGCTTTGCTGCCGCCTGGGTGTCATCCTGAAGGATGAGCACGGCTGGAGATGCTCACATTCCTTCCTCCTGCCTTCTTCCTGCCCCCCTGAGCCACAGGTCCTTCCATGTGCTCAGCGTTATCAGCACCCTGAGCACATCCACCCGTTGTCACAACTTGTTCCCCCTGTGTGTCACCAGCAGAGGAGGCCTGGGCAGCAGAGGGCACGCAATGAGCGCAGCAGCAGTGACTGTGTGCCCACCGCCACGGCGACCGGGGACCCCCAAGCTGCAGGCATTACCTGGCCTGGGAGGAAGATGATGGTGATGATGATGCTGAGGTCAGGGCTGGGAATCACTGTGCTTTACCAAACTCATGGCAGCAGTCGGAGGGCTGCGGTGACAGAAGCGGCTCGGGTCACTTGAGCTATTTCAACCAGGAATAAAAAAGCTTTTAAACGGAGCAATTCAACTCTTCAGCACTGAGGAGCACGGTGATGCATCTCCTGAGTGCTCACCGTTGTGAAACCCAGGGCTTGTGGCTCATCGCCCTCACTGCTAAGGGAATCTCAACTAGAAACGGCCCATTTCCATTTATGCTGCTAACAAGAGAAAGAAAACTTAACTTACGCCCTTCCAGAATATCTCAAAGAGTTATTTAGTGCAGCAACGCTTCCAGGCATCTCCCAGGGCATCACTAAAGAGCTCTCGTTTATTTCCTTATGATGAATGGCCTTCAAGTCGAGCTGAAGGGGACTCCTCTCAGGTCCAGCCCTGCTATTTCACCATGCAGCCCCACAGCAGCACTGACACCCCTGTAAGCCAGCACTGCCAACAAAGCACCCAGAAACAAGGATGGATTCCATCCCACGGAGCTTCAAAATGAGGACCTGATACCCTGAGCAACTGGAGAAACCACTGAGACACGGCACAAAGCCTTCAATATTTCAGCTGGCTGCAAATAAACACCGCTGCTCCACCGAGGCTTTGCTCCAGCAGGATCTGCTCAGCTGCGTTGAGGAACCGAGAGCAAAAGGGAGCAAACAGGACGCAGAGCCCCAAAGCTGACTGCTCTTCAGGGGCTGATGGGCGAAGAGACAGAGCAACCTCTGCATTTCTGCTCCCTCCAGGCACGGCTGTGCAGCTGCACACAGCTCTGCTGATGCCCACCGACACTGCAGGAGCAGCAGATACAAACTGGTGTCCCAGAGCAGCTGAGGGATCGGTTGTGCCCCAGCAGGGCCCAGGCAAAGAGAGCAGCAGCCCAACGCAGGGCGCAGGTGCTCCTTCCATTTGGGAACAGAACGGGAGGCTGGGCGGCAGCAGCACCTCTGTATGGGAGAATGAGTCACTGCCATCTCTCTTTCCCTTCTTATTTATGTGCCACATTCGTGTGCTGCTCCAGAAATTGCAGCAATTCCTCCTCTCTTTTTGAGGACTGAATGTTCCCTGCTCACCTGAAGGCTTCCCGCTTGGCAAAGGTCGGCCGTTTCCTAACGAGCAGCGACCAGGAAATTAGGAAACAGCAAGCACAAGGCACACGTGGGAGCAACACAGCGCTGAAGGCAGGGAGGAGGAGAAGCTCTTCCACAAACATCTCCCTGCCACGCTGAGCCGAGGGAGGCAGCAGAAACCCTCTGCACCAAAACGAACCCGAGAGCTCAGCGTGTTTTCCACCATACGAAGTTCTAAAGCTGCTCCGGCGCTGCTCCAAGTCAGCAAAGCACTGCAGGTTACCTTCGGCGCCCTGTTTGAGCTACAGACATTATCTGCTGCTACGAGAGAAACAGCACAATTCATATTTCCCAGCACGACGTCCTTGGACTCTCACTCCTGCAATCAGCGCTTTCACAAACACCGCGCGGTCGGTGCTGCGAGGGCACCGAGTTTTCCAACAGGAGCCGAAGGAAAAGCGTGGGGATGATGCAGGAATCGCAGCCCTGCTCCGTGGGAACACGGCAGATGGGAGCAGAGGGGTGAGTGCTGCTCACCAAGCACTGCTTGGCTGCTCCGTACGGCCATGGCAGCATCTGCACCAAGTGTCTGCTGTGCAGCGCCTGCTCCGCTGGCTCCCGTTTGGTTGCATTTGGCTGAGGATGCCCAGAGCTGCTGTGGGAGGGATGCACCAAAGCTGGACGAGGAGAGTGAAGCCCCAGATGACAGCGGTGACTCTCAGATTCCTACAACCGAGTCACACAGCTGCACCAGCAGGGGAGCACAGAGCATTCGCCACCAGCGAACGTCTCCTTGAAAGCACAGCCCCAGAAGCAGAAAATTACCAGCAAAAAGACAATTGGAAGCGGTTAAAATCGAAGTTCGCCTCTGTTCCAGCAGACCTGAGCCCTGCAGGCTTCTCAAAAGCATCGAGGGCAAGGAGGCCTTACCAGCAATCACAAAGTTACTCTGCTTTCCGGCCCCAACCCAACACCACTGCTGTTACTTTGCAGCCTGGGTGCCGAGCATCCAAGCAGCTCGGTTAAAACAACAACAACTAATTTGCAACACAACTGCTGCCAGCTCTATTTTTAGTGGAGGCAGCCCTTGCCTCCCCGGGCCCACAGCAGTGCCGTGGGCTATTCTGAGATCAATACCAGCCCTCAATGGAGCAGTGACACACAGGAGGTGAAACCTTGAGCTAAACCAAAGCATTCCAAGCGATTGCTGCGCCTGCCTGTGTTGTACCAAGCAGGTGCAGGGTTACAGGAGAGCAAACGGAGCCACGCAGCGCAGGGTTCCCTCTGTGCGCTGTGGGTTTCTAAAGCCCAATTTGATTTTGTGCTTGAGCCAAAATGATGAAAGTCTTCTAAAATACAGAAACAAGGGAAAACAAAGCTCCTGTCGGGGATGGAAGCACCCAGCTGAGCAAAGCACCTCAAGAAGCGCTGGCTGGGAGATGCTTTCTGAGCATAGCAGCAAACCGAGGCCCCTCCAAGCCCCCCCTGCTGTCCCTTCTGAGCACAGCCAGTGCCCCCAGTCCTGCACATCTCTGCCACGTGGGGATGGAGCCAAACGATGCCCATCCCAATGCAAAACAAGGTTTCCTCCGCGATGGCTTCGAGACAAAAGCAGCAACCTGCCTGCTGCCGACCCTCTGCAAAGCAGGATCCAACACACAGCAACGTCCAAACCGAGCCCACAGTCAGGTAACAAGGGAAAATCCTTTGGGATGCCAGGTTCTACGTTCTTCTATAGCAGCAGCAGCTCAGTGCTTCTCTTCTTGCATCTCATTCCTCTCAGCTCACAGCCAGGTTACCCCAAGCAGGCGAGAGGGGCTCGCACAGAACTGAGAACGGCTTCCACGTGGCACAGTCACTCGTCACAGCTCCACACCAACACGACACTCCACGCTCAGAGCCACAGCGTTAATTACCAGCAGACATTCTGCTGTGGGGACATTCACTCTCAGGAAGCACAAATCCCATCTCAGGGCAACAGCACGGAAAACATCCAAGCGAAAGGAAAGCAGAAAGCAAAGATGAACAGATCCGTTCGCACCGTGTGGTGGGATAAAGGAACAGGGCTGCATTTGCCCACGGAGCTAAAGGTTGCTTGCTCTGCTCTGCGAACAAGCTTAGGCCGTGCTTCCAAGCCTGGGATCAGCAATATGCATCCGTGAGCTGACAGATGGGCAAGCTGGTGTGCAGCAATTCACCTGGAGAACGCAGGGCCCTTCAGCCCCACCGCAACAGCCGGCTGCACTCCTGCTGCCTCAGCATCACAGCACAAACCCAGCAGCCTCCTCCCGCTCAGCAGCGCCCAGCTGCAGCTACAGGGCATCGCAGCTCAGTTTGCATCACCTCCAGTTCCCAAAGCCCCATGAGGGTGCGATCTCTCCCTTGCTACAGCTCTACAAGCTCGCCTTCCTTCTCACTGCTCTGCCAATAACCTCTGCGATGGCTCTGTGTGCCCACCAGGCACCGTAACCCTGCCCACAGCCCGATTAAAGCCCAGCCTGCCAGCACACGACGCCCAAAGCAAAGCTCTCACAAACCCTGGGAACTCTGCACAGCTCCCAGCCGCCAGCATTTATTGGCAGTGGCGGCCCCTATTAAAACAAGGCCAACTCCCACAGCATGTGCCACTGAAACAGCTCTCCCCATTATCCACACTGGCAGGACACATTGCAGGATAACTCAGTGACTGCGGTGCAGCTTGGTTCAGGCCATAAAATCATTAAGGATGCAACAGAGATTTAAGTTCATCAAACCCAGCCGTGCCGAGCGGGCTGGGCTGTGAGGTGACAGCAAGATCTCTGACACAATCACAGAACGGCCAGGGTTGGAAGGGAGCTCAAGGATGATGAATCTCCAACCCCCACCACACACAGGGCCACCAACCTCCACATTTCAGAGCAGCCCAGGCTGCCCAGTGCCCCATCCAACCCGGCCTTGAACACCTCCAGGGATGGACGGGGCATCACAGCCTCTCTGGGCAGCTGTTCCAGCACCTCACTGCTCTCTCTGTAAAGACCTCTCACCCCAAACTCAATCTATTCACACAAAGCACCGCCTCCTGCAGGCCCAACACATCCAGAGTCAGTTTTGAAGGGAACCTCTGTGCCGAAAGGAACTACACGAGGCTCCCTGGGTGCTGCACCTGGAGCAGAGAGAAGAAACAGACCATCAGCAGCGTGCAGAGCACACACAGCTGTAACGCTGAGCGACTCCTCCAGCTCTGTTTGCCCTGCAGGAACCACGCCGGGCCGCAGCTGCCCCAGCTCTATTTGCAAACCAGTCCCCCGAGCGGAGCATCTCCCACATTGCAGCCTTTAAACTTTAACTCCATAGAGCTGAACGCGGCCATCGCGACCCCGTTTGGCCGCTTGTAACTCACAGAACGGCCAGAGTTGGAAGGGACCCCACGGATGATGAATCTCCAACCCCCTGCCACACGCAGGGCCACCAACCTCCACATTTCATACCACCCCAGGCCGCCCAGGGCCCCATCCAACCCGACCTCGAACACCTCCAGGGATGGACGGGGCATAACTCCCACTTGCTGAACGCAATATTTAACAAAGAAAAGCAAAGCGAGGAGGCAGGATTTCAAACCACGACAGCAGCAGCTTCCCGCACCGCGCAGCTCAACGGCTTTAACGGCACGGCACCGAAACGCGGCCTTTCTTCAGCAAAGCGGCTGCGTGGCAACCGAACAACGCGGCCACCCCCGGGCTCACACACGGCAGATCCGCTCCACTTCTGTCCTAGGGATGAGGCGGGCCCGGTAGCGGCGAGGCCGGGCAGCGGGCATCGAGCAGGCGCCGCGCTGCAGGACCGGGCCGCGCTGCAGGAGCCGGGCCGAGCTGCAGGAGCTCCGCCCCGCGGCACCGCCCCGGCCGTTAGGGACCCTCAGGCCCCGCCGCATCCCTCGGCTCCAGGCCCAGCCGCGGCCTACCGAGCCTCACCGCCGCCCGCCCAGAGCAGGCCGCGCTAGGCCGCAACCGGCCCGGAGCCCGTCCTCGGAGTCCCCCGATGGCCCGGAAAGGCTGAGAGGAGCCTCCCCGAGCGCCCCGGCCGTCCGCGGCCCCCCCTCACCTGCACATGATCCGCCATTTTGCTCCATTCATGCTCCGCTCCCTCCGCCTCCGCCGGGCCCGGCACGCGCCCGCCTCCGCCCCCCCCACCCCTTCCTCAGCCACCAGCGCCGCCGCCTCAATGCGCATGCGCGTCGCGCCCTCCCGCCTTTCGGCGCCTGCGCCGTTCCCGCCCACACCGTTGACCACGCCCACCCCGTCTAACCACGCCCACTTCACTTGACCACGCCCAACTCTCGTTACCACTACCGCCGTTGACCACGCCCACCCCCTCCGACCGCGCCCACTCCATTGACCTCGCCCAACCACTTGAACGCTGCCGCCCCTTGACCACGCCCACTCACTAAAGCCACGCCCACCTGCCTCAGCCCCCCCCGCGGAGCGCGACGGGAACAGCGCGGCGCCCGTTGCGGCCGAGTGACGTCACGACGCCGGCGGCGCCGCGGAGGGAGGGGCGCGCTTTGTTGACATCGCTCTTAAAGGGGCCGCGCTCCCTTTTCGTCCCCGCGTGCTGCTCCCGTGCTCGCCGTGCCCCCGCCGCCCCCGCCGCTCCGCCGCCCCCTAATTCCTCCGCAAAGCACGGAGCCGGGTTTTGCTGGGCGTCATCCGGCCCCGTTCTCTCCCCACCCCCCGCGGAAGTTCTGTGCATGGGATGCTGCCCCCGCGTGGCCCGAGGGTGAAATCGCGAAGGGCTGAGGAGCGCCCGGAGCTGCTGTGCAGCGCGCCTTGGGGTGCAGCTCTGCGGGACCGGGGGATGCATTCCCTGCATGCGCTGAAGGGCTGCGGTGCTCCGTGTGCACCAATGGACGCATTTCCTGCACGCATCGGGCGATCCTCTGCATGCTGCAAGGGATGCAGTGCTTTTCATGCACCTAGAATGTATTCCCTGCAAGCACCAGAGAATCCTGTGCATGCCCTGAGCGCTGAGGTGCAATACATGCACTAATGTGCATGCTTCCTACGTGCACTAACCAATGAGGTGCTTTGCCTGCACTGAAGAATGCATCCCCTGCATGCAGCAGGGTCTGTAATGCTCTTCGTGCACCAGCAGCTGCTACACTTTGCGTGCACCAAGGGATGCATTCTTGGCTCGCTGCACCTCCTGCACACCCAGAGGGCTTCATTCCCTGCATGTGCTGACAGACACCGTGCATAGGCTGCATTTCCCACATGCACCGTGAGCTGCAATCCTGCAGACCCACCCCCGCCAACCCATGCCCACCTCCACCCCACGCCATGCACCAGGGCAGCCTGCAGCGCAGGATGAGCAGCAGCATCACGCTGCAGACGAACCACGGGCTCCCACCCACCCAAACCCCAGCTCACCCCCCCCCGTTTTTCAGGTCCCCATTCCCACCCCAGCACCTTCTCAGGGCCCCGCGTGCAGCTGCGCACCCGGCTGCCCTTTATGGTAACGGTGCGAAGGCAGGAAGCTGAGCATGGGGAGGAAACAGCAGCACCCAACCGCACATCACGTGGCGTCGGTGCAGACGGGGCGCTGGGGAACAGTGAGTGACAGAGGGGCAGCACAGACGGATGCTCTGGGCTGCAGGATGGAGGAGGCGGTGGTGAAGCAGGGCGTGCTGCACCTGCAGCTGCAGCAGACCTTCGGCAAGGTGAGGGTGCAGCATGGGGGGGCTTCCTGCTGGGGTTCGGGGGGGCTGTAAGCAATGACAGCGGGATGTGCGGCACCCCGAGCATCCTTGAGCTGGAGGATTTGGTGCTGGGATGCAGCGTGAAGAGATGCAGAGCAAGCAGAGCACCTGTGCAGCTCTCAGGATGGGGTTAGGTGCAAAGAGATGCAGCCCCCATGCGCCGTTGCTTCGGAGGGAGCTGCGGTTCGGCGACGGTGGCTGCTGCTCTTGTGCAAGGAGGAAGGAGTCATTCGCCATGCTGGGTGGGGAGGATGAGCAGCCAGCAGGATGTGGGGGCTGCAGAGCAAATGGGGTGGGTTTGGAGCTTGGCTTTAACAAAAGGTGCAGCGATTTGGGCTGCTGGGCCCCACAGGTTCCCCTTGGACCCCCTGCAGGAGGTGAGTTTGGGTGCAAAACTTCCTCTGGGGCTGCACGCCTCCCATGCAAAATGCAATGAACTTCCGTGCTTGCTGAGAGGGCGTGAGTCAGGGGTTGCTCTGAAGGTGGTGGTTTTAGGAACAGGGGAGTAAATGGGGAGCTGGAAGCCCTTTGGGGGGGCATGGATTTTGGGGCGATGCCATGGGAAGGGGGATGGGGGGATGCAATGAGAATAGGGGTGCAGCGGGCAGGGGAATGGCATGGATAAGTGGGTGCCAAGAGTAAGGGGATGCCATGGGTGGGGGGATGCAAGGAGGAGAGGGATGCAATGGGCAGGGGGTGCCATGGATAAGGGGCTTCCATGGTCAGGGGGATGCCATACGTTAGGGGGTGCCATGGGTAAGGGGATGTCATGGATAAGGGGTTTCCAGGGTAAGGGGTTTCCATGGGTAAGGGGTTTCCAGGGTAAGGGGTTTCCAGGGTAAGGGGTTTCCATGGGTAAGGGGATGTCATAGATAAGGGGTTTCCAGGGTAAGGGGTTTCCATGAGCATGGAGATGGTTTCCCCACGTCCCCCCCAGGCTGAGTGATGCTGAGCAGCCTTCAGTCCCCCTTTGCAGCACAGGGACCCCATCTCCCTTATGCTGCACTTGGGCTTGGAGATGCTTTCCCCATCCTGCCCAGACCCCCAGGGCCCACGTGGGCATTTTGGGGATGGATCACGGAGCATTTTGCACCAATGGCCAATTGAAATCCCCTGGAAGGGCGAAAGCAGCTCTGCTTACCCTGCCTCCTTTCGCTGCTCCGCATCCAGAAATGGAAGAAGTATTGGGGCGTTCTGTACCGCGAAACCCCCTGCTCCACCGCCCGCCTGGAGCTCTTTGAAAGCGCCGACAAACCGCGCAAGGGCGAAAGCAGCCGGCGCCTGGTGAAGCTGAGCGACTGCGTGCACGTGGCCGAGGCGGGCGGCGAGCCGGGCTGCCCCAAAGCCACGGCCCCGTTCCTGCTGGAGACCACCGAGAAGCGCTACCTGATGGCGGCCGAGGGCGGCGAGGCGGAGGGGTGGGTGAGGAGGCTGTGCCAGCTGGCGTTCCCGGTGAGAGCTGGGGGATGTGGGCACGGGTGGGTGGGAGGATCGGGGCAGTGGGGGAAACGGGTCCTTTTGGGGGGTGGGTGGGTGGGATGACCTTGGCGTGGGGATGCTGGGTCCATTTGGGGTATGGATGGATGGGATGACCTTGGCATGAGGGATGCTGGGTCCATTTGGGGGATGGATGGGTCCATTTGGGGTATGGATGGGTGGGATAAGTTTGGCATGAGGGATGTTGGGTCTATTTGGGGTATGGATGGGTCCATTTGGGGGAGGGATGGATGGGATAACTGTGGCATGGGGGATGCTGGGTCCATTTGGGGTACGGATGGATCCATTTGGGGGATGGATGGGTGGGATGACCTTGGAGTGGGGATGTTGGGTCTATTTGGGGTATGGATAGATCCGTTTGGGGTATGGATGGATGGGATAACCTTGGCATGAGGGATGCTGGGTCTATTTGGGGTACGGATGGATGGGATAAGTTTGGCATGGGGACGCTGGGTCCATTTGGGGTTTGGATGGATGGGATAACCTTGGTGTGGGGATGCTGGTTCCATTTGGGGTATGGATGGATCCA